GTTGCACGTCAGACAAGAAGTGAAGATGGTTGTTCTCTTCGAAGATTGTCCACATAGTGGACAACGAATGTCTCGTATCGTCCTGTTTGCCACCGACCGGCCACAATTGTCATTTTGGCAAGGGCCAACTCAAGTTTCAATGATCATCCGTCCTATCGAATATTGCGTTCGGTTTCAATGACTGCTGCTGACGAACGGCAGTATTTGCCTCTGGCGACGCTTAATAAGATGTCATCGACTGCTGTAGGCATTGCCACGTATACACCTGCACCGTCGGGGCTCGTTTAACAAGCAGCGTTGTTCGACTTGTTGAATAAACAATTGTGGGATGCTTCGATGAAGGTACTCTTTATGTCGATAAAAGAGTGAGAGTGATATTTGGGGGAGACTATTTTTAGAGCAAACATACTAAAATTTATATGGAAATCGCTTCTCGGGCAAACTAGTAGAAAAGCGATCATTTCTAATGGCATCTCCGGGCTTTGTGATGTGCGCGGAGCGTGTGTTGCTCGGCCGTTGCTTTATACTAATTACTCATAATTGAAATCGTCAGGAAAACGTAGAGGAAAAACGACGTAAACAGTTTGTGTAGTCTATCACGTCGGTTACACGACCGCGACTTCGCCAGCCGTTGTGGTTGTGGTAAAGAAGCAGCAATGCTGTTCAAACAAGTGTTCACGACACGGTTCTGGGGCGTCGACCGTATGACGAAACGCTTTGCTGATCGTCAGGAACATTAAACTACAGTAAAGCGGAAAAGAGGCGCGCTGTGCGGAGAGCGACCTATAAACGACGGAGTCGAGGACTGTGACCCCGCGAGAAGCCTGTCCAGTATTTATTTTTTCGAGTGGAATGTTGTGCGAGTTAGAAGTTGCTGCTGTGGCCAAGGGGGTCGTAGCGGCGGCGTTGGCGACGGCCGCAACGGTGGTGGCAGCAACAGTTTTAATGGCGAGCTGGACTGTTTGTGGTCCATTCATTGATAAATGAATGGTCGTCCGATGGCCGCGACGGAAAATCAGGTTCTTTGTGTTTTATCAATCAATCACGACCGCGACTGTGATGACGAATGTGACACTACGGCGACACGACGACGGCTACAAGGACAATGTCGCTACATGCACACGTTCACATGGCCATTGTCCATCGCTACCGGACGACGGTTGGTGGACGGCATTCTCTCTCCGGTCGGCCGCGCGGAGTTTGGTTCGGTTGACTCGGCTCGGTTGACATTCGATGGGATGGTTGTTAACCTCGATCTATGGTCTTCTTCATGTCCATCCGGGATTGCTTTCGCTTCAGTTTGCCAAAGTCCATTCATTTCTTCTACTTCAGTGTCATCTCATTGTTTACGGTTTCGATCTTTCGGTTCCTTCACGCACAAAGCTTATTCGACTTACCGTTCTGACTTTCGAACGTTAGCCACCGCCTTTCTGTTCTAAAGGCAGAGTCGACATGTCCTTCGTTGCTTCTCAATTCGTCAATAACTTAGCGGCAAATACGGATTTTATTTATTTTTTGGTACGGCTGTTTTTCAGTTACCGCCTTTTCTAAAGTGTAGTTGAGATCTAGAGACGTTTCTCGAAAAGTATACGTATTTAACTTTGTCAGTGCTTCTTTGCAGATGTATAATTGTCGTTTCCGCTAAACGACGTCATGTACATCTCAGCCTTCACAAACAACGACCTCAAGAGTGTTCATCTTTTAATTCGACGTTTCGTCACACCCGAGAAGTTCCTTGAGCAGTCACATGTGCAGTGCATACGTCGACGGTCCGGCTGACCGGTCGTTCCGCCGATCGTATCTTAACGTTTGTGTTTTTCAGTGTTGTTGCGAAACTTCTTCTAGTGACGCAACGGAACTGGCTTTTCCTCATCAGAGGCAAAACTTCCGGCTTTTGCCTTTTTGCCGTTATTCGCACTTCGACTGTGGCCTTCAACACCTGCCAAGCTTCTACTTGCTTGAGTGAACAGCGAATTATCGTTTACATAGGCTTTCTACCGTGCGTTAGCTATGATTGCGAATTACATATGATGAACAATATCACAGAAGCAACTTTTTAAATTTATAAATGTCCATACATCGATTAATATGAATGACACAGTTTAAAATAGCTCTTTCTCTCTGAATGGCAGTCTCAGATTATCGAAGGCGTCAGTACGGCAAGCTTTACTTCTTCTCCGGGCTCATTTCGTCAATTTTTAAACCTCTTTGGCAAGTACGAAACATCTGCCTTTTTGGATAGTGCTATTTCTTTGTTGATCTTAAAAGCTTCTAGACATTAGTGACTTTCCGGTCTGTTTCACTTTGTCATCATACATTAGCTAAAATTATGACCTTTCTCTGAAACTAGTGGTTATCAACAGATTTCCTGCATTTTGTATTAAAGAAGACAAGTTCAGATGACGGAAGCTTCACACACGTCTTAAAACGTTATGTTTGACGAGGTTTTAAAGTTCTAACCTTATGAATCCATCGGGGCTGCAATACGGAAGCTTTACATCTCATTCTTAAGCAGGCCAATGTCTTCTTACCTGCGTCATTCACGCCTAAAATACGTTTTTCTGCCTTGTTATCTTCCTGCCATTCATTTTTGCACATGCTACTGTTGTAAACACCGTTCTTTTTTGTATCCTCGCTTTCCATTTCAATCAGTTTTTCATGCAGCTATGGGACTTCGATTTTTTGCTACATCCAACCATCTTCTAATCTCCTGTGGAAATGGCAGTGGGCGGCGCCTAATGAAGTGAGCATGAAGAGTATGACTCTCATTTATTTGCTACCTGAGGCAATCTCTTTGCAGTTCATGGCATTCTTGATCTTCATTTTCATGTTCCATGGCCCGCTTCTTCTTTCAGGTCGCGGAGGCAGACGTGTCAGACAGAGCTTCCAAACGTTCCCGAATCTCTGCCAGAGTCTGAGCTTCGGCAAAAGACAGAGACAGACAGAGTCTCGAACAACTTTCATATATTT